ACCAAACCTTATCAAGGAGACATAGAAGAGTAGACAAACACTCAATTTCCTCATCCCTTAATCCTCTACGGAAACCAAAATCCCAAGACAAAGTTGGTAAGGATAAATTYGACGGAAGGAWWTTKGAGATCACCTCATTTTTATACAAGGAAACAGAGTACAATTGACTGAATATCCTTCTTATTGTGACCTATCAGGCTCCAACCAAACATATCATAACTACCATGTCCTAGGGCAAAGGTGCTAAGTGCATAAATCCATTAGGGTATGGCATCAATAACCAATAAGATGCAACATAAAATATCCTGTAGTAACAAATTGACCCAAAAGGAAGATAATTGCTAGTCTTTTACTTCCTTTTGATCTTCAAGTAACTAAAGATAGCTTCATTCCAGCTATCTGTAGTCAGTTACACAAATCCTGTTTTACCATTCCACTCTATCAAGGACCATATTTTCATCAAATACCTTAAAGAATGCCCTGGCAAAGAATGAGATCTAAACACAGTTCACGATTCATATCCATAATGGTTTGACAGAAGTTTTATTTCAGCTGTCAACTTGAAATAACCCTCCTTATTTGGACTTGGGACCAGAAACGCAAGACAAGATCAACACTATGGGTATTGGGTCCATGCCACCCAATCAGGGTTAATGAGCTCTACTGTTGTATATTCACCATAGATATGTCTTTGTTGTTTCCCATGATAGCTAAATTAATCAAGAATTCAAGATAAAGAGCCATTACCCAATAATGGTTCCGGCCATCTGGGGTCTTTAGGTGGACTGGGTGCAGACCTAACCTTTGGCATTTTTTACACAGGGTGACTGCTCTCAAACCCAAATATATGTTCTCATGCTTGTCAGCCCAAAATTTTACCACTGGACCAGAAATGGCCCCTTATATCCTTCAAGATCCAAAACATAGATAATCCACCTTTTTGTATGGCATTAGGAGACTAGTAATGCTCAATTGAAAACACACTACCATGACATTAAGGTTGATCATGCAAGTATAACAATACATAGGTTGAATTATTCACCTCGCCAACGATGCAGGATCCCATGTCTGTGGAACAGAACGCTTGATATCGTCATGTAAAATTAAATCTGTCTTTGCCAATTTAACTGTAAACAGAGGAATAAAATGTCCAACCATGGCAAGAGATTTTGTATTTGTTGCATCGATTTGCCAAGAACCAGTGAAATTGAACATGGAGTTAAAGCATCCAAGAGGAATACGGCCAGATATACCCGACTTCTTATTGAAATGCTCAGCCATCTGGAATATCATACACCAAAGGTATTGCATTTTACATTGTTTCACCACAAAGAATATAATACCATTTACTACTTCTATCACTAATTAATGCAAATAAATCTAAAGCCAGTTTGTACATGCATGGATTAACACATTCTGTTCGTAGATTTGGAAATACAGTTATTCTAAAGCATATAACATGAAAAGAATTAAACCTCACTCAAAAATATAGAAATGTAGGCCTTTGGGCTTTCGGGAAAAAAATGTAGAAACATAGTAGGCTTTCTTTCTTTTGAAGAAGAATAAGAAGAAACATAACAGGTAAATCAAAATTTTAAATTTTAAATCTTTCATCTAACACATTTGAGATATAAGCAAACTACCTTACCTGTGAACCACAGATGTGACATGTGAAGGTCAGTTCTACAAACTACCAAGCAAGTTTTTGTTAATGCAAATGGGACAGATAAATAAAATTAAAGTTTTGGAATAAGTCAGTGTGTAATTTGAATGAAAGTACAAGCAAAAGGGATACTCACAACTCTCTTAATAAACAGAGCATCTGAACGAACAATAGTTTTGGAACCTAATTTGGCTTGTCGAGGCATTTTTCCCTTTATCAGTTATAGTTTATATGCTACTACTGAGATATGTAAAGAAATCTTTCTTTAAAAATGTTATGATAAATTGCATTTAGGTTTTCTTCTGTGCAGTTATACTTTGTTAGATGTAAGTTCTTCTTGGCATATTCATCTTCATTAACTTGATGGCATTATCTTAGCTGACAGTCTGCTTGAATGAAGAAATGTAGGTTCTGGCAAGAAGGGCACACCATTAGAGACTGGAGTTTAGAGATACTAATCATCAGCAAGTATCTGATAGGGATTTGTTCATAAAAGTATCAACAAATAGTAACAACATTGATTTTGATTAACCTTCTCCCTTCAGGATTTACAACATTGATGTCAGATGTCCACATGAAATGGCCAACCTTACCCATTTATTGTTATATATTGAACATCAATCAATCTTAATGGTGCTCACTGACTAACATGAAACTGGACTGACTGTTGAGTGCTTCACATACTGTTGCATACAGTTCTTTAATCAACACGCACATCTCATTTTTATATCCGTTTTCTAAGAAAGTAAAACAGAAAAGACTATTATTTAGATAGGAGTGTAGATGTAAATTGATATATAAAAAAGAGAGAAACTTTCTTTTTCTTTTTCTTTTAAAGGAACATAATAGTGATAAACTAAGAAAACCACTTCATGTCTTCAAATGAAAAGTGTTGGTGCGGTGGCAAGGCGACCGAAGGCGACAGGAAAGTCAAAGAACGTGGGGAAGAGGGGGGGATAAGAGGAGAGAAGGGAGGGTCTTCTTCTAAGAAGCCCTAGGTCAAGGGTATATGATATTGTCTGATGTGGGGGAGAGTTATTCTCCTTTTTATAGAGAGGACCCCAAATCCATAAGGAGAAAGGTCTAAAAGAAGGCCTTTCCTATTAGGAAAGGGGATCTTTTTGTCATCTATTGAGGGAGTACCATTGGGATTTCGTAACGTGCCTAGCGAAATCCTTCAAAGACAGTTTCCGTTCTCTTAAAGATTCTCACGTGGCATGTGTAGGCTACGTCCTCTTACGGGTTTCCTAGTGACCACATGTTAAAGGGCAAGATCTAGTTGGCAATGTTATTGTAAGTCTCAGGCAACACCCATTGTTCGTCGTGGGTCCCAAGAGATGTTTTATGCTCATTGCAAGTCTTGGATGGTCTTTCGTGCTTATCGCAGATCCCAAGTAGCTTTTAAGCTCATTGTAATTTCTGTAATGGATATTAAGCTCATCGCAAGTTTGCGATGGTTGTTAAGCCCATCGCAAGTCTACGATGGTTATTAAGCTCATCACAAGTTTGCGATGGTTGTTAAGCTCATCGCAAGTCTGCAATGGTTATTAAGCTTATCGTAAGTCTGCGATGGTTGTTAAGCTCATTGCAAGTCTGCGATGATTATTAAGCTTATCGTAAGTCTGCAATGGTTATAAAGCTCATTGCAAGTCTGCGATGGTTATTAAGCATTTAAGCCCATCACAGGTTCTGGGAGATTCCGCATGTTGTTAGATTTGTGCTCATAACTTTATTTTATATCTGCAATGTAATTGGGGTGATAAAAAACTACATGTACTTACAAAAGGCATTCAATTCAGCAATGTCTTTTACTATATAATCCAGTTAGATAAGGATAAGCCTAGTCTGCAGCATAAGTTCATCAAAAGATGGGGGGGAGGGGGGGAACCCCCTTAAAAAGTTCAATAGATCACCCATTATGATCTAGATCCCATTACTTGTATCAATCAATCCATGTGGCAACTAAATGTTGAATCATGTCATACAAAGAAATGGGTCTGACCCACTCAGGACACCGACACACCACACTTGACCAACAACTGCATTCAATAACTGAGAAGGTCTCAAGGATAATATAAAGTAGACAACTGAAAAAAGAAAAGAAAGGAAAAGAAAAGCATTAGTGAATTGATAAAAAAAAAATGTCATTACAATGTCTCCAAGGAACCATGCCTTTACAAGCCAAAGAATACCAACACATTTCTAACAACCTATGCATCTTTATTTTTATTATAAAAATACAAAGTTTTGTAGCTTGCAGCTAATTGTTTTATTGGCCCCACACCCAACTAATGAAAATTCCTATATTAATAAATAAATTAAATGATAAAACTAATTTGTATCCGATGTCTCAATGTGTCATTAACCTAAACAATCCCAGCCCAGACATCCCAAAAAATATCGAACTTAATCACCAACTCATATCATATCAAATTAACATTCTGATTCTTCAGGTTGGAGATTTAAAAATTAAAAAAAAAAAAGCAACAAATTGCAACCTATTATCCAATAAGTTACCAAAAAGGGCAGGTAGCACAAAAGCTAAAGAATGAGGACACTCAAACACCTCCACATTGTGAAACAAACCAACATAAATCAGGGAAATGTGTAAGATGTCATATTTCATTTGAATCGAAACAATATTAGGACCAACTAAACGGAGAAAACTCAAAGAAATGAACAAAAAGATGAGAAAATGAAAATCCAATTAACTCTTTTAGAACATCGGAACCCAATAAAAAAATCCATACGCAATTTGTAATTTAGGAAGTAAAACACACTCAAATCAGAGAGAATGGAAAGAAAATAGAACCAGAAAACCAGAAAACCAAAAATAGAATATGGGAATTCACAAAGCTCCTATAGCCACCAAAATCACAGAGAAGAAACAAACCCAATTGATAATTTAATTACCATGCAGACCCAAGTCAGAAAAAACGAGAACCCAACAACGAAATCCATCGGAAGATTACCTCGTGAAAGCTACAGGCCGCTCTAGTCTCCATCTTTCCCTTCCCACTGAAAAGCTCGATATCAAAGGAAACATTGGGAAGAACCAAATCGTCAGTGATTAGGAGATCCCTGGTGTTGTTCTCATCGAGATGAACTAGGCGAGAGCCAGGAGCTCCCTTGCAGTAGAGAAGTCGAACATCCGAGGTAACATCGAAGCCTCGACCAAGAGCCTGAATTGCGTTGCAGAGGGTCGTCGCAAGAGCAGCTGAGCTCGACGTCGTCGCTGGGTTTTCCATACGATGTTGAAGGTGAGGAATGTATTTTTCATCGCCGAGGAAGAAAACCAAGAAAAGAAAAAAACTAATAACAAGAAGAAGAGGTGTTGTTCCTGTACTTCATCTCTCTTGTTTTTTGTTCGTTAGATGTTCTTCGAAAGGAGGCTCTTTGACTGTAATAAAAACTCTGAAAACGCGTTTTTTTCTACTAAGGATTCTGAGTTGACTGGTCTTTCACAAGTGTTCGCCACTTGCTCCTCTCTTCCCGACTCCACCTCACCACGCTCGCAAACATGCTGTCTCGGTTTCTTTCTGGGTTGTTCATTGGTTCCCTCCCCCTCTCTCTCTCTCTCTTTCTCAACTTCCGACAGATGAGCGTGAGCTTCTAGAGCTTCTAGAGCTTCTAGAGTGTCAACGGGTAACCTTGACCCGACATGTCCAAATTAGACATTTCGGATATGGATGTCATAATACCTTTGACCCGAACCATGCTGGGCCCCCATAACTTGTCTCTTATCTAAAACCCACCAAAACAGGGTCAAGAGTCAAGAAGGTTCTGGCACTCTGCATTACTGCGTTACGCCAAATCTGATGGTTTTAGTTGGGTCCATTCGTGGGCCGTCCTGATTGCTTAAAAGAAATGTGCAGATGGCAAGCAATGGAGCAATAGACCAGACTCGTATCTGGATGACGCCAAGACATAATGGGCTTTGAAGTTAATTTGACAGAGTAGGGCGCAAAACGAAAAATCAGTATCAATCTGCTCTTATGCCCCATTTGGGAGGCCTCATACATTAATACATAGATGCTTTGATGAAGCTATTGGAGACTTGTACCAGCATCACAGCAGGGAACCCATAAATGGCTGTACACTGATCAAATTTGACTCTCTAATGTGTCTCTCTCTCTCATTTGGGGCCAAATCCATGTGGACGATTTGTGATATAAAATTCATTGTTGTGCAATGACCAACTAGCTCATCAAGTTGGACAATTTGTTCTGTGAGTCAATTTTCATATATTTTTATATTACTTACAAGGTACGAGTAGTCAAATATCTTACATTCGCATAAGTCAATAAAGAAATTAAATGACTAACAATATTATATAGAAAACTGAAAATGGGATTATTACAGAGGAAAACAGTAATTGAGATGGTCACTCAGCATCCCTCTGAATAAGGTACGGAGTCTAATCCATATAACTGCAGGCTCTCCATAATAAGGCCATAAGGTCAATGAAGTTCCCACCCCTTAATCTCATATAATGTGTAACATGTAATTGCAAAGAGAGGTGAAAACAATGGGTGTTATTGATTTAATCAACTCTTTATACAATTCAATCCTGATGTGGGCATACTGTATCATTAATGTTGTTATCAGAGTTTTTATTAGGATCCATTTGGTTTGCAGTTGGAATTGGAATCGAAATTCTTTATAACCAGAATTGAAATGGTCTATTCTCGTATTCTTTTTGATTCAGACAACAGAAATGGAAATAAAAATTAAAATTAGCAATAATAAGATTTGATTCCCAAGAGAGAGGCAGGGAATGGCCATTCTCTCAAGTGGGGGAATGCCATTCCAGCAGGAATGGGAATTAAATTCTAATTTTATCCAATCAAACAGTTGGAATTTCAATTCCAATTCCGGACCCTTATTCTTACAAATCAAACGGGGCCTTTTTTTTCTTCTTTTCTTTTTGTTCAAGACAAATCAAGATTCAAGAGTGTAAGTATTATCACATTTATATCTATCGAAAAAAAAAATTCGTGTGACAAGGTCAATTGCTAGAGCAGTTGTCATTTTAAAACTATGAACTCATATTTCTCTCATGTTGGGTTTGTCATACTCGATAACCATACTCTACTTTGACATCGCTTTAATTTTCTTGGGACCTTAAATTATGTACAGTCAATGGGTTGGACTTATTGAAACAGGTAGACAAGCACACAAGGATATTGCAAGAAGATTCTCATTGAAGTGGTAATATGAAAACCTGACATTTTGAAGGGAGCACAATACTCAAAATCTGCAAAACTCTAAGCTAATAATTCATATAGTATGTATAAATAAATGTTTGTGCTTTATTTAGCATTAAAATCGAGAAAAATTGTTGATAAACTATTTATTGACAACTAGACGTGACATCAGTGAAACAGTGAATAACGTTTAACCCTTGGGGAAAGCATTAAAATGAACCTTTCCCCAACAGTTGACACACACATAAATCAAGACTAGCCTTTATCAATACCGATGTGTACAAATTGGTATGATGGGATAAATGATGGCATGATGATGATATGACACTATTTATCAAAATGCCTCTCACAAAACTTCCACAAAACCAAACATACGCATAGTCTTTAGAACCTTGGTGTTTTAAGTTTCAATGTTTGTACTTGATTTTTGCATTGGATTTATAAAGATTAAAAAAGCATAATATTTTATTGCAGTTTCAAATAGATAGGGAAGTTCAGATTGGCTCCCCACATTACGCATGGTTTGGAATGTGACGTGGGGTGCATGAACCATGGTGTTTTAAGTGTCAATGTTTGTACTTGATTTTTACATTGGATTTATGGAGATTATAAAAGCATAATATTTCATTGCAGTTTCAAATAGATAGGGAAGTTCAGATTGGCTCTCCACCATTGTTTTCAAAGCCAGACCGGACCGGATGGTTGGACCAGAAAATCAGGAATAGGTTATCTGACCGGTTCCGTTTTCCTCTAAAACCACTTTTTCCTGCAAAACCATTGATTTTGGTCAGCAAACCGCTGAACTGGCCGGTTAATCGTTCGAACCATTCAAATGGTTTTAACCGTTCTTCAATTTTTTATTTTTTTATTTTTTTGTCAGAACGGGTTAATCGTTCAGATCGAATGATCAGACCGTTCAAACCGATAATCAAACCCCTTACCGATTCGGTCACCGGTTTGTTTTTACAAACCATGCTCCCCACATTACGCATGGTTTGAAATGTGACATGGGGTGCATGAACCGTGGTGTTTTAAGTTTTAATGTTTGTACTTGATTTTTGCATTGGATTTATGGAGATTATAAAAGCATAATATTTTATTGCAGTTTCAAATAGATAAGGAAGTTCAGATTGGCTCCCCACATAACGCATGGTTTGAAATGTGATGTGGGGTGCATGTAGGATACATGTGGACTACACTCTATGGGGAGCCAATGTGAGTTCATACATAGGCACTACTAGATGTCACTAAGCATTGCATAGGACATCCAAAGTGGAAATGCCACACAAGGGAAATTTGAAGTCCCCCCCAACACAAATATTTGTACTTAATTTTATCCAATCAAATAATATTTTTGACGCAAAGACAAAACACATGCATGACATCTAGCTGTAATTCAAAAGGAAATACAACAAAAAAACATAACATCATGGTCCAAACACCACCTCAGAAATTTCTTATTGTGTCATCATTATCATCTAACCCTTTTTCCTAACTATATGGGATCAGTTTCAAGAATCTTGTTATGTCATTCCGTTCTATTCAGCTCTACATCTATTGTTAAATTTACATCCTCATATAACACTTACGCTCATTAGGCTGTGTTTGTTTAAAGTGTAAATGAGAATTGGGGTAAATTTTATACCCCGTTTCGATTTTGCAAGCATTTGGTAGAGGTGTTAATATACCTCATCAATCGGTGTAAAAGTCCATTATTGTCAGTATATTCATCGAAAATCAATGGAAAGTTTACATCGATAAAATCGATGTAAAATGTTACCTTCCTCTGCCCAATGGTTACCTCACTTCTCCTTTGTCCAACGGTTGCGTGTCTTCATTTGAACCAAGAAGAGAGTGAACCAGTGTGACAGCGACATCCCCCACCTCCGGCCAGATCCTTTTTCCGCTCCATCTCCGGCCCCTCTCTCTCTCTCCCTTTCTCTTTTCTTCTCCTTCTTCTTCTATTCCTTCTTCTCCTACCTACGACCAGCCATGTTCACTATCTTCTCCGAAGAACACAGAACTCCTAGCGGTGATACTCTCCCTGTCCCAGCATTTTCACGTAACTCCGAAACAATAGCAATAGCGCAAATCCTGCAATCTTCTCCAGCTCCGGTGTATCAGTGAGTGGTGAGACTAGGATTCAACACTATCAATGAGCAGTGAGCAGTAAGCGGTGAGCAATGAGCAGTGAGTGCGCGAATGGTGTATCAGTGCAAATCCTACAATCCCCCTCACCGATAAACAGACTAGAATTCGACTTTATCAGTGAGCAGTGAGCGGTGAGCGGCAAGCGGCGTATCAACGCAAATCCCACAATCCCCCTCACTGATAAACAGACTAGGATTCGACATTATCAGTGAGCGTTGAGACCCAACTCTATAAGATTCATTGCGTAAGATTACCGCCAACGTGGAGGATTACTGCCAATATGTACACATTAAAGCAGCGGCATTGTGGGGGATTAATGCCGATGTACACATTGAAGCACTACGTAAGCATTGCTTCCATAGTGGTAAGATTCACTACGTAAGCATTGCTTACATAGCGGTAAGATTCACTGCATAAGCATTGCTTGTTCACCTTTTTCCATCCAGACCCAGTTTGTTCACCTTTAATCAAATAGCTTTTCAATTTACACCTTAGACAACCAAATATGGTCAGTGTAAATTTTCAAAATCAACTGGCCCAATTTCCATCGATCACTAAACCGGTTCACCTTTTTCCATCATGTAAAATTTGAATTCACACCTCAAACAAATGCAGCCTTAATAATAATTATCATGATTAGAGTAATGCCTAGTGTAATTCATATTAATCGAATGTTATCACTTGAAACTATTCATGATTCACCGGATCTACAAAATCCATTGCCATTGGACTTCTTAATTGGAGTTTCTTTTACCGAAAAATAAAATAAAATTACTTCATAAGTTCTCTTAAAAGACTTTACACAAATCTATGTTAAATACAATGTCAATGATGATAATCTAAAATTGAGCTTACAATAAGATTCTTCTCATATTTTGCTAAGGCTCAGTTTGGAAGGAGTACGAGTACAATTATATACAGTGCAAATACATACAAAATATAAGGTTTTGCACTCTATATATTTGTATTTGCACTCCTTCAAAACTGAGCCTAATGCTCAATTTTATAAGAGTGCAATAACAAGGTTTAGAAATACTATCTACAAGGTTTTGCATTGAATGTTATTTGCACTCTTCCTAGCCACATATATGTTAAATATTGGGATAAATTTCATTCTTCTACCCATGTTAGAATTAAAAAGCATTAGAGGGCAATTGAAAAAGATAAAAAATAAGTATAAAAGACTCATTTGTTAAACAATCACGTACAAAAAAA